ACGGCCGTGCCCGCTCCCAGCTCCGCCCCCCGCAGCACGGCGGCGTTTTGCCTGACGGGAAGGTCGGTGCTGCCTCTCGCAGGCCGCTGGGCTCAGCTCCAGCCCCGCAAAGGCAAAGCCGACCCCGGGGCAGCTGTTCCAGCACCTGCTGCCCAGCCAACAGCCGGGGCCGTGGTGCCAGTGCTACAGACCCTCCCTCCCACCGCTGACCAGGCTGGCCCTGCCCCCCCTGGCAGCGCTGCGCACAGAGCCGAGGCCCTCTGCACCTGCCCTGGTGCGTGTCAGCCATGACAGCAATAGGGAAAAGCACTTCCACATCCCCTAAGCTCTTCCCAGCATGATCCCAACTACCGGAGGAGCAGCAGCCACAGCACTGAAGGAGATCCTCTAGCAAAAGGCGTCCAGGTCTGAACAGGGTTCCAGGAGCTGCTCTCTGGGACCAGCGGGGGTCCCCAGCAGCCTTTTGCTACTGGGAGGCCCCCAGAGCTCAGGCCAGGCAGCTGGAAGCAGAGGTACCACTGAAAGGGTCAGAGGAGCTCCTGCCTCCACCCTTTCCAACTGCCCTGTGCAGCAGAGCCTGGACAGGGGCTTCCAGCTGCCCCACCAGCCACTGCTCTCTCTGCTACCTGCCCTCTTTCCCCTCATCACTTTTTTAACCCAGTCATCTTCCTAACTCCTACCTCTCCCCTCCCAGGGCAGATCCAGGTCTATCCTGGTCCCCATTTTCTGTGCAGACTCCACAGCCTTCACCCAGCAATGGAGCCAAGCAGGGATCAGCCCCAGGGCACTGGCACCTGCAGCTTTCCGCTAGCCTCAGCCTTATCCCACACTGCACAACAGGCCACCCAAACCAGGAAATTTAACTGCTCAGAAAAAAGGCCAGACCCTCTTAAAGGCAGAAAGGGTGGTGTGCCTGTGCCACGGTACTGAAGGTCAGCTCCCTTTGTGCTCCAGCTATGCCTTGCCATTAAAGGTCAAAGGCAAAGACTCAGCCCTTGACCAGGCCATTTATACTGTGTTTAGGTCAAAATAAAAAAAAAAAACAAACAAAAACACCCAAGCAAACAAACCAGTAAGAAGGGAAAAGGCAGCTTCCAGTCATATTCTCATTTATTAAGGTCTATGTCAGCCTCAGGAGATAGCTCTTCCTGTAAGTAAACAGAGCAGGCGGCCACATCTATAATGAATAAATTTATTGTCTTACAAAAATCATTGTCTAGAAATATGGGTATACAAGAAAACAAGATATTTGCAGTCAGATGCCTGGTGGTCAACAGCCAGTTTGATTAAAAATATCCAAACACACACAACAAAACCTTTGCGACAGATGTTAAAGCTTTTAACCAAAAAAGGAAATCCATGGTTTTTGAGCATGTGGCAGAGGAAGTTTCCTAGTTAACACTGATTCATTGTCACTAATATCAATAATACCACTTGGACTAGAGAGGTACATGATATGAAGCACAGTCAAAATTAATACATTAAATCATTGTTATATAGGCAAATTATATATGTAACATTGTCTTAGTACTGTAGTGTCTAAGGCACTTTCTGTAATGTCAGTTTTTCAGCTATTTAAACAAGAACAACACTAACTACTCGCTGTAATACTGTTCAAAATAAAAAAACAACAACAAACAAAAAAAAAAAAAAAGGATTCACATCCACTGGCATGTTAACTCGTAGGCAGGCAACATCCATCGCTGAACCCTGTAACCACAGGCTCCACACGAGCCCCACACTGCACAGTACAGGCGGCCCTGCTGCTCTCGGCTGGCCAGCGGACCAGCTCCCCCAGTAACACCAGGCTGGCTGCTCAGGTACCACGTAAGCCTCGTCTCACAGTGCAGCCGCTCGGCTCCATGTCCTGAAGACTAACTAACTCAGCCATAAATTAATAAATTAATTTTGCCTGTGTTTGTATGTTTATTTTCCACTGGTGTTCACATTATACTAGCCTTAATATATATACAGATCTGTTGGGCATGGTAATAGCAGGTCTCTACAAACGCAGAAGTACTGTACAGATGAGGAACGGTGATGCTATTTCAGTTTGCCTGTACTGCAGGAACACTAACTGATGAAGCAGGTGCTGAGAACACTTCAAAATGATATTGCAGGTTAAAAATGGACACTACTCATTCATCCCTACATTTCCCTCTAACACTTCCCAAGGCCTTTTCACAGTTCACTCGCTGATTGTGTGCTGATCACAACAATTAGGAGAAAAGAAAGATACAGGTGCAGTTTGGTCTTCAATGATCCAACAGACTCAATACAGCCAAGGGCCGTCCGAGCACAGAAGAAATGGAAGGATGTTGTCTGTACAACAAAGCATGCATAGTCATGACAATGGGTCTGTCCCAACCACCTACCCTCTGGGAATGAAGTTTCTGTGTTGATAAAAAAAAGTTTCATCCTTCACATGATGCTTTATAAAATGGCTTTACAATGAGTATCTGGAAAATAGATGCACTGAACAGAGACGATCCCATTTTGTTTACTATATATAAAAAAGCAGTTGTACCTATATCTGAAGCAGGGTACAGTATGGTGAGGCTGGAGAGCCTTAAGACATAGTTGACCTATGATAAGTAACCTTGTAGCATGCCGACGTTTCGTAAGGCAGATTTACGGCCACAAGGCAGTTCGGTGGTCAGGAAAGTCCTCCTCCTGCCGACTACTGTGTAAGAGGTCTCTGCATGCAAATAGTGTGACAGGGCTCTACTCAGCAGGGGCCGGCTGCGCTTCGTTCACGTCGCTGCCTTTGCTCTCCGCATCATCGTCCGAGAGCTCTAGAGAGGCCCCTTCAATGTGCAGCTGGCGTCTCCCAGATCGACTCGAGGAGAAGGTGATGGGGCCCCCCCTCCTGCGAACAACAAGCAGACGGCGATTGCTGACGGGTCACGTCTTGCTCGCAGCCCGAGTCCCGGTGCTGGTGGCTGCCCCTGGAAGACCTCCCCCGCTGAGCCGGGGGGGAATGTGGCAGCTCAGCTCCAGGCCACCACGGGGCAAATTTCACATGCAGTGTCTTGAAACCCTCTCTCTGACCAAGGGGTCAACACACTGTGCGCACACACGTTCTGATACTCTGGTATTCCTGCTTAGTTTATACCATCATCTTAACTTGGCAAGTCCCAAGTAACTTAAAATATTGTCTCTGTACAAGCACCAAACACAGACCAAGTACTAAACACAGTGGGTTCTCTAAAAAAAAAAACCAAACCACCACACACGCTCAGCTGCTCTTCCTGTCAAGACAGTTTTTGTTCTGCACCAGCCTCACCTTTGCTGACTCCGATCTGTACTTGACACAGACCTAAAGATCCTTGATACTTGATCCTAAAGACCTGCTCTCAAGGAAAGTGCTGAAACACTCCCACCAGAGTGGGTCAGCAAAAAAGGGATCAGAACCAGCCACTGGAAAAGCACGACTGAGCTGTCTCCTCTGTCACGTTTACCTACGGCTGGATTGAACTGGCAACCCCAGGGAACCTGCCAATGTAAGCTCCGAAGAATTCAGGCTCAAGAGTTGTCAGGAATATCCCTGTGCTCTGGCAGCTTCTTTGTTATCACCATCAGGCTCGGTCAGCTGTTCCCAGCAGGCTCCAGTTTGACCCATCCCCTAACCTTAGCAGCTCTGCTTCTGCAGGGCCACAGCTAGATGCTCCCTAAGGATGCATTATGGAGACAGTCTGTGGGGATCCAAGGGCTTAGATAAACCTGTGCCCACTGCTACTGGCACCACTTACCTTAGCCTGTTTTTCAGGGTGCTGACCTCTCGGCTCAGGCCCTCGTTAGCTTCTGTGGCATCGTCCAGCTCACGCTGAAGTTTACGTCGGGAAGCATTTGCACGTGTGGCTTCCTCTTCAGCCTCCTCCAGCTGGCGTTTGAGCTGCTTCATTCTGGCATTTGCTTTTTCCATCTAAAATACAAAAAAACCAGGTCATCAGGATCAAACTCAGCAGCTGCATCCCCACAATTTGAGAGGTCAGAAAGGTTAGTTAACACCCTGTCCTCCTCGACCACCCCGGCTGGAGATGAACTATCAGCCTCACTGCAGACTCCAGTGTGGACTCCCAGAAACACTGCAGAGCTCCTGGGTCTGGGATGCCAGGGTACATAATGGACCATCATCACACCAGAGCTAACACAGGGAGGCTTTGACTGCTGGGAGGTACTCTAGTGGTTTAGTGATCAAGACAGGGGTTCCCTCCAATGTTTTCATTAAAATGCTTTGTAACAAGCCCTTTCTACTCAAAGTATGGTTTTATTTGTGTTTTCTGAGAAACAGGCCTCAAAAGCTAAGCCCCTCCACCTACCTGCTCCTTGTACTGGTCTGCGTGTCGACGCTCATCCTCCACCTGCATGAAGACTTCTTTCAATTTCTTCTCTGTACGACGCACCAATTTGTTAGCAGCTGCTGTTTCCCTAGAATAATCAAAAGCCATAATTTGTCCCAGTACTTGAAGTCTAGGAACACAAGGTCTGTCCTTTCTAAAAGGCTCTTGTCTCATTGTGTAACTGATTCTTGAGTCCTCTTAACATACCTGCCACCATCAACAGAACTTGGGTTTTAATATGCTGGAGGCTGGATGGGATGCAGTTTTGAAATAGTAAAGTATTAGCACTGGAGCAATATGAATATGGTATGCATGCTAAAGAGGGATAGAGAGGTTCTTCTTCACAATGAGATTCAACAGAGCAGCTTTAAAGTTATTGCTAAACAGCAACACGGGCCTCCCAGAGAGCTAAAAGCACAAAAGGATTGGAGATGGTGACAATACAGTCCACCTTCAGTCCTTCTGGGAGGAACTAGCTAAAAAAAAAAAAATTGGAGGACTGAGATGGAAAGGACAGGCGGGAAGTGCTCACTGGAGAAAGCAGACTTCTGCAGAGCACAGAATTCATCTCAACTAACTAAAGCTGTCAGGCCTAAGCTGTTCAACTTGCTTCCTCTAACCAAAGAGACCAGGTGTCTCAAGGGGATGTTTCATCTTGTCTTGAGAAGCTTCTGCAGCACCTTGTGGATCCTGGGACTAATAGTCAACATATTCACCTGGTTAACTTCAAGAGTTAATTCAGCAGTTTCAGTTACGGAGCAAATAGGTTCTGAAACTTTCCACCCCAGTCACTTTACAGCTGCCTTGTCAAAGTGTGTCCCTTAAACAGTAGGTTTCCAGATAATAAACCCTAATGCCTGTGCTGTAAGCTAACATCTCAGCCCTACAAAAAACTTAAGGCATGGAGATTTCAGACATTCAACTGACAGAGCAAACACAGGCAAACAGATTTTTTTCCTTACTTGGCTTCCTGCTCAAGCTGTTCTTCTAGCTGCACAATCTTGGCTTCTAGAGTAGAAATTGTTGCCTTGAACTTAGACTTCACAGATCCCTCTAGTTCCTGCAGCTTGGCTTTCAGCTCTTTGTTCTGCCGTTCCAGCTGTTGCCGTGCATTTTCACTCTTCTGGGCAGCACTCCGCTCCCCAGCTAGCTCAGAATTAAGTGTGTCAACCTTTCAGAGGAGAAGAATAGAAGATCGTTTGGTGCTATTCAGAGCCTCCACTTAACTACACACTGAAACACAAATTGCCCCAACAGTATTGCCAACAACAGATTCACCTGCAGCGTGGTCTTTCGGAACCGCTCATTGAGAAGCTCCATGTTACTCTGCTCTTCCTCAAGCTCTTCCTCCAACTGTGCAATACGAGCTTCCAGCCGGCGCTTCTCATCCAGCAGTGCTGACCTTGAAAGGAAGTATTTGGGTCAAGACATGTTCAGAGCCGATACAAACCGGCTAGTTTGCTTCTGATACTTTAGGCATTGCAAATTGTCATGAGAAGCTACTGTGTCAGCAATTCTCTTCATAACAACAAGGAATTTTTATCATGAAGACAGGTCAATAGAGAATTTGCAAGCATACTACTGAGAACTACAGCTGCTGGTGCCTGAAGTTCTTCAGATGCATCATTAATACATTTGATGACTTACTTTCCTGAAGCACTGTTTGCAATCTCATCAGCCAACTCATCCCTTTCTTGCTCAGCATGACGACGGGCTCTTTCAGATGCAGCAAACTCCTGTGAAGATTTAGGAAGAGATTCATTACAACATTAAGAATCTCAAAACTTCTGCAAACAATTTAGCCTTCTAATAACTTCCAGAAGATGCTGTGAAGTGTGATATCCCTGAGGTCTTTTAATGGATAAGCAGAAGCAACAGCTGTAGAACCTAGCAGGACACATCATCTTGATACTTTCCCCCCTTAACTGCCATATGACTACAATGGATTTACTTCTCCCCATCCCTGAAGTGTTCCTTGCACAAAGTTAAGGGGAAAAAAAAAAAATATCTGTGAACATCAGTAACACTCAAGTCCTAAACAGCAGGAGAAAACCATTCTGTCACATGCTCTAATAAAGACATTCAGTGTAAAGTGGGCACTAAATGAGCAAATTTTTTAGGTTCTTACAGAGTACATAGCATGAATGCAAGCAAAGTATAGAAAATAAAATCTTTAGCACAATAGTATAAACAGCACTGAATCTCGTATTATAAAACTGTATTAAGTGGTAGAAACACCCACGCATTCACTAAGGACAATTAAATGCACTGCAAGTGCAAGACGGACAAGTTTAAAGTGCACAAAAGAATGACATGGAGAAGCTCTAGTAAGTCGTAGGTTATCTGTAAAGGCTCAAACGTAAATGTAGTGACATCTGAGTGATTGCTTCAAACTTCGGTCTGCAGCTAATACAAGACAAAAAAGAGGCAGTCTCTCACATAAGGCAATTCTGCTGATGTTTGACGTTGGGGCAGATCAAGGAGATAACGGGAGATAAGTGATACATAGCCAGACTTAAAGCTCTTACATAAATTGCCAACAATGAGGGAACACATGCCCATAAGATGGATGAGGACCTAAAAGGGCAGAGTGATAAACCTCCACAGACTTAAATGGTCCACTGAGGTACTGGAGAGACTGTCAGTTTTTATATATTTGCAATAATCAACTTCAGCACTGACACTGCACTGCACCTTTCAGAGACTCTCGAACTCTCTTGCAAATTTTAGTGAGGCCTTAAATCTGTTTAAGCAGTAGTAAAGCTTTCCTTCTACCCAGGGAGAGAAATGAAGTCCAGACTACTAGAACGATTCCTACAAAGCCACAAGAAGTTCACTAATGACCTGGGGCAGAGGGGAAGAGAAAGTTCTCCTGGCTCCCATTTCTCTGTTCAACTCACTACATTGCTTTTTACTTTTTTTACTCTCTGATCTTTGCCTTACTCTAGCAAGAAAAACAAATTTCTTAGATTTCAATCTCACCTCTTGGAGCTGAAGTATTTCTGCTTCAAGACCTTTGAGCTTCTTTTCACTCTCTTTGGACTGCGCAAAGATCTCATCTCTGGATGCACGGGCTTCTTCCAGCTCCCGCTGGTAGTCTTTCATTTGAGCCTGCAGTTGGAAAGCAGGGGAAAGAAAAAGCCATGCTGCATTAGGACAATCACAAGATTTATTAGTAGCTCTGAAGCATTTTGGCCCTTAAGAGGCAAAATCTTCCTCCCAAAGTGGCTTCATTCGACTTAAATGCATTTTCAGTTCTTATCTTCATAGTAAAACTTCATTTTCTCATCTTCCCATCACTCAATTTCTTGTCAGAAATATCACATTGTAAGACTTCACCTCATTTATCTGGCATATTTCGTGGAGGAAAAGACTCTAATAAAGAGCCCCTCAATTACATTTGTCATGGAACTTATGGAGAGGTAAAGCTCATGGAATGACTTGTAAAAAAAATTTACTTAAATTGACTAAAACAACCAAAACTTATTACAAGTACGCAAGGTAAGAAACTATTTGCAGTGCAGAACTAACACAATGCACCATTTTGCACACCTAGAAGCACATACTTATGCTTCCCTTAAGAAACACTGTTAACACAGACAGATCTTAATCTGCACAAGCTTGACTTGAGACGCTAAGAGAGTAAAATGTAGTTTCTCCAACTTTCTAAGTTGTACCTGCATCTTCAGAATACCACCAGTCATGAGACCACTTATTTCAGGTGCTTGTTTGAAAGTGTATAGAGATTGGGTATAAACTCTCTAGCTGTCCTATCCTCTTGAAATAGAGAAGCCAGGTACTGCTAGGTACCAGCATTTCTTGCTTTAACCTATGCTCCCTCTTCACCCAGGGCTGAGTTCCAGAATTGCCCTCATTCAGTTGAAGTAGGATTTGAAGTAGGATTGCCAAAGAATAAAATGGACAGGGCAGAAAGGCAATTTAATTTGCCATATGCTTTACATGGTCTTCCATGGCCTCATACTCCTGCAGCTTTGGGCCATGGCACTGAAAATTTTTGGCAAAACTGAACTGTACCAAATGTTGAGTGTTTTTCTGGGAATGGGAAATAAATCCTTCACAGAAGGACTGTCTTTTTCTTGCCAAACTAAAAAGAATGGGCAACTTGGAGCTTTTTAAAAGCAACTAAAATTTACTCCTTTTTCTCTGGAGCGTTTTTGGCTGAAAACGCCTTAAAAAGTTCAACAACTTGAAGAAGCAGCAGTCAGCAGGAGCTGAGCTCAAATCAGTAAATTCAAAGATACAAACAACCACAAATTTTAAAAATGCAGCCTAGAAAGCAATACTCAGTAAATTTTTATGCAAAGTGTTGAAAGAAAGAAAAAGATGACTACTGAATAGAAGTACATGGGGGACAATCTTAACTCCTTACTGACAAAATGATAGAGGAGTTTTGAGCAGGAGGTAAGTTCAGGCCAGACACTCTATGACATATGTCAGCGTAGTCAATTCTGATACTCCTTTTGCCTTCAATATATTTAATGAAAAACAACACCCTTGACAGACTGTCACCAGGAGAGAAAGCAGCTCAGTTGATTAGCTGTGCCTACCTGGAGCTTACGTAGCTGTTTGATTGCTTCATCTCGAGCCTTGTTTGCAGCTTCTATCTGACCTTCCAAGTCTTTCAGATCCATCTCCATCTTCTTCTTGGCTGCCACAGCAAGAGCCCTCTGTTTGCGCTCATCTTCCAGTTCTGCCTCCAGCTCTCGCACCTGTGAAATCAAGGCGTTTAACAGGCTCAATTCCAGGAATGGAGCAAACACAAAACCTTAACAAAATGGTCGGTGACTCCAAAAGGTCTTTGCAGAGCAGAACATTACTCAATTGGAAAAGACTAAAGAATGCAAGCTACATGGGAATACACTGCAAATGGCAAAAACAAATCCACAAATTGGAAGCAGAGATCTCTGAACTGACAAAAAGGAAAACAAAGAGAATAACTCAGCATCTGAAGCATTTCCATTTCATCTGTTCAGCTACTTAGTGATCAGCTTCTTGCCCAGCACATCTAGCCACATTTAGGTATCACTCTAGGGGAGATGTCACTAATTCTGATTGAACCAGTAAGAGGAAATTTTCTCAAGAAAAAAAGAAATCATTCCTTTTGAAACAGCCGTGCTACTAGCATTTATATACCAATTTATATACTTTTTTCGAAAACAAAACAGAAAAGTACCTAAGCAGCAAGCCAACATGAACTAAGCCAAACTTATGCAAAAATAAAACTGAGCCAGAAATGCCACAGGTTATCAACATGAAAGAATATCTTTTGTTTTGAAGAAAGCCTCCCTCCTCATGCTAGGTCAAGAGCTCTTGTCCAGTGCAAGATAATAGCAATTTTGCATTGCAGGAAACTTCAAAAACCCTCCAGGCCATGTTTATTTCTAAGAGATCTCTATATTGGTGATTCTTAGTAATTGTACATTTTTGTTTATTGTGATAAATCTTGAAATATTGGGTGTTTTTTCCTCAAAGCTTAATGTTAACTTAGAACCATCTTCTCTTACAAGCATGAAATTTTAAAGACATTTCTTGAGTCTCTTCTGATCTGCTTTGTGTTACTAGAATTCTTAAGTCTGGCAAATCTGGAATCTTTGCCACAATTTTCATTTAGGAAACTGTTCACTTAATTACAGTTTTTCAGTCTCTCTTGGCATCCATGGATGTACATCAAATAAGATGGGCTTTAAAGTCCAAATAACATACCCATGTCCTTGAAATACACCCACATAGCAATAGACAAACCTCTGCTTGCATGTTGAATATTTTTGGAGGACCATCACTAGCAGACTAATACTAACAGTTGACAGTGGCCAGTCCTCAACAAGATCTATTCTATTGTTTGTAAAGATCAGTGCTTGGGATTTCTATAGGATGGGATCTTTAAGCAAAGAGTTTTACTTTTATGGTAGCAAGTTATCGCTGAAGCCAGAGCTTTGGCAAAAGATCCTCACACCATTCCCACTATGAAGTACAGTAAAATAGACATACTTGTTTAACCAGCATCCTCTTTTTCTCTTCATTCTGTTCATCTCTGGCTTGCAGATCTCTCTCAAACTGGGCTTTCATAGCTTGCATGTTCACCTCCAAACGGAGCTTAGCATCTTCTGTGGCCTGCAGTTCATCTTCCAGTTCCTCAAGCTGAGTCCTCATCTCTTCAACCTGTTGCTCTAAAGTTCTCTTTGACTTCTCCAGTTCATGAACCTAAGCCACAAACATTAATCAGACCCTCTCCTTCAGATATCTCAACATCAGCAGTTATTAACAACAAAATAAGGCATTATATGAACTCAGTTCACTACATTTTGTGATGCTCTGAATTGGACAATGAATCAGAACAGGCAGAGCAGCATCTCTTAAGTTTGTATTAGAGAACCCAACAAACATCTGTGCAAGATGACTCAGAACAGGCAGAGCAGCATCTCTTAAGTCTGTATTAGAGAACCCAACAAATATCTGTGCAGATGATTGGAGAGGTGAGCTGGGCAATGTCACAGAGAAAAAGTAGTTGAGACAAGCTCTTTAATCTAGTGCAGGTGCCATTAGTCATTTGGCCAGCAACTTCTGCTCTCCATGTCTTCACATCTTTTGAAGAGGCCTGATATTAATAAGACCACCCCCTTATTCTGGGCATTAATTCCTCCAGAATTTTGGGTTATAAATCAGCTTCAAAAAGTTCTATATTTATGTCAAATATACTTCTCCAGCCAGGGAGTTTTCCTGCGTTATTCCCTATGCAGTACATAACACAGGGTGTGGAAACGTACTTACATTTTTGCCCACATCATCTTTAGAGCTCATTAAGTCTTCCATATCTGCACGCAACTGTTTGTTCTGTCTTTCAAATTCTTCCTTAGCTTCCAGGGCTTCTTCCAAAGCCCGAGCCAGAGACAGTGCTTTGGTTTCCTTCTCCCTTGCTTCTGCTTCAGCACGATCTCTTTCCTCTGCATATCTGGCAGAAATGTTCTTTTCTTCTGCCAGCATCTGAACATAAGAAATAATTCATCCATCTCATAAGTTCTATAATCAGGTCCTTCCTGCCTCTGGTGTTGTAGTCAATGAAGTAGTTAATGCTCTAAGTTTAACTGGCCTTCAGAAACTGTCTAGTCTCTCGATCTTGATCAAAGTGCTAGTAAGAAAACAGCTACAGCTACTCTGGGATGAGATGAGGAAAGCAAGCTACTAATCAAGATTAAATAAGTTTTATATTATTTTCATCTTTCAGTCTTCACATCCTTTCTTAGTCTATCTTGAGGGATTACAATAATACTCTTAAGTTTTTGTTACAATATAATTTCCTTTTTGTACATAAAGAGCTTATTACTTGATCTAACAAGACTCAGAGCTGGCATTTAGCTCACTGAAATAATAAGTGACAAGTTACTCTTAACAAAGGCCAAGTTACTCACAAAAGATTTATCAGTAGCCACAGTACTCTTGTCAGATTCTTCTTTATACAAGGTTCATTTATGCAGTAACAATATAAACAAGATGCCATTTAAAAATCATAGAAAGCAGCAAGATGACAGGAAACTAGACTACCTGATCAAACTTCTTCTGCTTTTTCTCCAAGTTAGAAACAATCTGGCGCTGATGATCTAGATCTACCATCAAGTCATCCAGCTCTTGTTGCAGGCGATTCTTTGTCTTTTCCAGTTTGTCATAAGCCATTGCCTTCTCCTCTAGGCGCTGGCTTAAGGACTCCATGTCCTTCAATAATTTCTTCTTATTTTCCTCCAAGCCTTCAATGGTTCCCAAGTCATCATCTACCTTTTTCTTAGCATCAGCCAACTGAAATTTAATAAAAGAAAATAATGTTCCTTAGTGCATCAGGAGAAGGAAAGAAAGGCACCAGATCCAAAATACAAAACCAGAAATGGGTATTATTGCTAGCTAAAGTAACACAAAAATTGTGAGCTAGCAGGATACTAAGTAGGGGAAAGTCCTGCCCGTTGCAGTTAGTTGTACTAGTCATTATTGCAATGGAGAAAGACCACAGGCAATTTTATTCCGAAATCTGGTCTAGCATGTGTGCAAATTACATGACATTTTTCCGAGAGGTTTGGGACACCAGTTCATTTTACCTGGAATGTGTAGGCCTTACAGAAGTCCTGCCATTTACAACAGCTTACCTGGGACTGCAAGGCGAGCATCTGTTTCTCCAAGTTCTTTCTGGCCTCCTCTTCCTCTTCCTGCTGCTCTTGCAGGTTGTTCTTCTCCTCTTCCAGCTGCCTAATCCTACTGCTCAGGTTGAGTTTCTGTCGGGTTTCTTCCTGAAGCAGCTCCTGTTACACAAACAGGCATATTCAAAGTTCAGTTTGGTTCATAGTGTGTTAACTGTGGCCCTGGGCTACCACCCTCCGTCACTCTACATGGAGTTGCAGGTTTGATTATTTTTCTCACAGCATTTTTGTACAAGGACATGCTTATGAAGACATCTGTAATTTGGGTTTTCAAAAAGGCACTGCTCATTCATTTTGGGCACACTTAAACCTTTATAAAGCATATTTCTGCTCATGGAATCCATGCCACAGATTCTAGAAGTTAATGGACAATACTTCTCCATCTTTAATGGGACGAGCACAGAAGTCACCTTCAAAATTTGTTTTTCTTCTTTCAGACAAGCATATAGAGTCCCTATTTTAAACCACCGGGGAAGAATATAGAGCAGCAAATCCTGCAATGGCAGCATGCTTCCAAGTTTTGCTGCATTGCTTAAATATAAAGGTCAGTTTAAAGATAGCTGTAATTTGGCAGTGGAAACTTCTGTCATAACAGAAACTAATAAAAGGTGTAACCACCATCCCCCCTCCCCCATCCTCTTCCTCACAGACCTCTCCAATTGTGATTAACATTATTCAAGTAGTCACCATATGCATTTTTATACAGGGAAGAAAAAGTATATTTAAGTGATGAATACATGCATAAAGCTGCATTATTTAACTCAAAACCAAACACTTGCAGTTTTAAGAACTTAAGCTGTCAGTAAAAGGCAAGGTATTATCCCTCATGCCTTTCATATATCCCAAGGATCTTATTTACATTAACATTCTACTTGAAAAGGTTTTTTTGACTTAATACTTATCTCCCACCAAGACTAAGAAATAAAAGAGAAACTGAAAGGCTACAGTCTATCAAAGTAGTGAATCTTAGATAATGAAAAACTGGCTCCACATGCAGCTGAGCAGTCATTATACATTGCATTTCACTAGACTGCAATAGGAAATACAGCTTCTACCCAAGGGACTTTCCAAACCATGAATGAAAATGTATTTTCTGTTATGCAGTTAGCATTTCAATGAGGAACAAAGCTTCAGTGCAAAGTTAAAGCTTCACTGCACACACACCTGTGTATCCTGAAGCTGAGATTCCAAACTAGCCGCATCCTTGGCGAACTTAATGCCTTTCTTCTCTGCTTCCTCCAGGAGACTTGAGACATTATCCAACTCGTTCTGCAAAGCAAGCACTCTAAAGGTAACAGCATGCAGCTGACTCACAGCAAAGCCTACGTCCCACTGGGAGCTGGAACTGCAGAACACAAAACCTCAACAAATTCCAGGTATGGCAAGACAACAATAAACCCCGGTACAAAGATACAACAAGCTAAAAATACTGAAGTTTAGTTAGAAACTTGAAGTTGGATGTCAATCTTGAACTTAAGGATATAACATAAGAAGAGGCAGGCATGCTATGTAGCAGAGCATGTCATTCCAATGTCTGCATTCAGACTTAAATGCTATTTTTAATTATAGGACCATATATTTTACAGGACCATTAATTTAGATATTATCAGGGTGGCAGCTGGGTTTAAAGCATCACTGCAAGAGAAAACATTACTGCCAGGTGCCAACTCTTGCTATTTTAGGCTATGCTACTTGTATATGCAGTGAGAGACTGCCCGAAAGCTTCCTCTGAAAAGAACTGGGCCATTTCCTTTTGAAGCACTTTAGCTTGATTTACCTAAGGTACTCGTTGCTGTGGTTTAAAAGTCAGCCCTGACTGCATTTTGTCCATTTTTTCCATTTCCCAGAAGAATAGGCCTTTATTTGCAATCCCTAGCTGTCAAACTCCCAACTTAGAAGCACAAAAGGAAACCTGTAGCCATCGTCAATCAGTACCTTTTTGCTCACACCTACAAAGGAGCTCAGCCCAATCTACTCAGTTCCATATCCAAGCTAAAAACACGTAGGCCAGCTGTCACTAGAGCCTCCTACAGGATTTGGTCTCCAGGATGGGAAGCCATGTACTTAGAAGCCACTATAATTCTCACATAGCCCAAAAAGTTCAGGATTAATGTCATGGCTGTCCAGCTATCTCCACATGAGGCACATCACCACTTTAAGGCCCCTCAAGTACAGGAGTGCATGACTGAGATCACCTCCCTCATGAAATATAGACCCAGTTCCTGTAGACCTAGCTGCATCTTTGAAAGTCATTCTCCTAGCCATTTCTGCATATGGTTAAGGCTTTTATGTTCTTGCATATTTTTCAGCAGTTTAGAACTTCCATACAGCCTTACCTGCAGCTTGTTAGCTTTCTCCGCCAGTTCCACCCTCAGTCTTTCTCCTTCTGTGACCTTAGCAGTTAGCTCTTGTACCTGAGCATCAAGCTTCTTCCTCTTATGTTCAGACTCTGCCTTGACCTGCTGCAGTACCTTCACTTCACAGGCTAATTCCTTGTTGTCAGACTCTAGGCCTTGCTTGTTTTTTTCAAGATTTGCTTTGAACTAGGAAAAACAGAAGGAAAGAAATTCAACACTGTTACGTATCAATAAAGTTTTCTGCTAAAAATATTCAGTCCAGCAAATCAGGTTTACAAGTTCAAACATAACACGAGTGCTCAGCAAGTTGTAAGTAGGAAGTGTTTAAAATGCTGCCATGTAACATTCTGTGTATGGTAGCCAAAGACTAAGTTAATGCAAGTTATTCCACTCTCAGATATCACAGGTAACAGTGAGGACCAGAAGATACTTCTATGAATTCAACAAGATCTGGAATGTCAGTGCTGTAAAATGACTGTTTGAGTAGTACTGTAAGTAGGAAGGAATGTGCCCATTAACAGATCAGCATGGCTCATCTCACAGAAATAAAAGGAAAGATATCAACTAAAGCTGCCCTGATTTTAGTAGGCGTAGCAGCCTGGAAGTGCATAACAAAGCACTTTTCACCACTGCACTGACGTTTGTCAAAAACCTTTTTAAAAAAGTAATAATTGGCATAAGGGATGTTTAAGTGCCATTCTTACTATATCACCAGAAGTGACATCATCTTATCACAGGACCTTTGTTTAAGATTGCAGGGTATTTTTCCATATTTTCATGCTCTTATTGAGAATATTTAATGAATAAGGAGCTGAAGATATGCATAAGATCTTCAGGTGAATAAACTATAATTTCCACCAGCTTTAACTGCCATGTTTCTCACTTAGTATTTTAAACCAAGGAAGCTTGTGAAGTACTCCCTACATAAAAATATTACTACAGTATATGAACTGTCCACGCATACATTTGTGAATGACCAGAACTATAATTTCACAAACTAAAGATACTTTTTTTTTTGGCAGTGTTGGAATAATTCTGCTTTTGAACAACACACTCAAGCTACACTAGTAGGAACCATGCCACCCAGGTGTGCCTCCTCCTGCCTGCTCTGGTGGTGGTTACCAGAGAACACACTACAGCTGTGCAAGTTGGCAAGATACTCCACAGATATCTAGCACTGGAGGTCAAAGTACAAGCATGAAGTTAAGAGTGGGTGGAAGAACTTTTACACTACCTGTACTCACAGCTCGTTATTTGTGAGTGCCGACATTACAGTTACCTTATTTGGAAGCATTCTGCAGTTCACTCATGCAGAGAACTGCTTTTCACCAAATAAGCATGTGGGCTGCTGGAGAATTCCCACAGAACTGCTACATGAATTTATCTCTAGGTGCACTGTTTCCAAGTCTAATGAACACTTTTCAGATAGATGCCAAGACTGTCTAATAGTTGCAATATATTAAAACCAGCAGGATATATTTGATTCAATTGCAATTGTTATGCATGTATAGAGGACAACTTAGATCTGCAGAAATCAGTGGAAGAGACCACAACACTTATGTTACTTATAAAAAGTCCTGATGCAGAAAAATGTATTTCTGTAATTCATTTTCTTCTCACCCTTTTGGCCTGTTCAAGCTGTTCAGAGAGCTCTTCCAGCGCAGTAGCATGCCTCTGCCTGATTTCCTGGATCTGTGCTTCATGGTTTTTGGTTTCCTCTTCAATTGCTTTCTTCAGTTCAGCCACCTCCTGCTCTCGCTTTGTCCTAGAGGAAGCATCAATGGTTATCAAAAAATCAACATTTTAGTCTTTTGTAAATTAAAGACAAATTTTAATGGTGACTTCTTACACAGACATATAATCCTACCTCAGCTCTTGCTGTGCTGCAGTGGTATCCAAGGTATCTTCCAGTTCAGTTTTTAAAGCCTCCAACTCTTCACTTAAATCTCTTTTCTGCTTTTCCGCCTTGTTGCGTGATGCCTTCTCAGATTCAAGATCCTCCTGGAGTTCTGCAATTTGAGCCTGCAACTCTCTTATCACTTTCAGTGCATTGTTTTTCTGAACTGCTTCTTCATCACCTCTGTTAAACAGAGGCACAACAGTTAATGATATTTCATAGCTTCAGATCTATTCTCATAACCATCTAGTGTTATTTAAATTATGTACACAAATGATAACTCAACTTTCCCCCTAGAATAAAATAGACCTTCTAAAACTTCACAGATAGAAAACCACTACTGCACTGTTATTCTCAAGATCCAAACAAGCACAGTGCCCCAGGAACTACAGACGCACTACTAGAATGATCAAGCTTTCAAGTTTACATTCAAGTATTCCAATTTTGTAGATCTCAACACTGTCCCAAAAATACACCCTGTCTGTAGAATTTTCTCTTCCCAGAAAGTTATGGATCATTACTCAAAAAATACAAGAGGTGTTTAGTTTATATTATAACATGTGGCTGCAGGACTACCACACAAATCTTTCAATGATTGAGTAGGACATACATTATCAAGTACTTTGACGATTAAGAAAGCTCTCTGAGAATTACATGTTTTTCCCCCCTCCTGAGGCTGAACTCTGGGAGAGTAAAAAAGCTTCCAGAGCCCAAATGCTATTATACCCTGGTGAAACATTGGTTTTGGAGCTTTGTAGAGCAAGAATGCTGATAAAACATTGAATTCCTTTTTTGCCATGTCTATGCACAGCACACAGGTGTCTAAAGATGCTCTAGTACAAACGTGAACTGGCTTCTGCTTTAACATTCCCAGTTCTAACTGATAAGTTTGCAGTCAGCTGAAATTCTCTCTGGGAAAGTAGGTTTCTACCACACTTCTGTAGTCATAAGCCCCGTCATGCTCTGACCTCGCAAGAGCAGCCTGCAGTTCTTCCTCTTTCTTGGCCAGCTGGATCTTCAGTTCTTCAATCTGGGCTTGCAGCTCAGCTATTTGGTCCTGTAAGTCTGTTGTTTCACCATCAAGTTTTCTTTTAGCTTTTTCTAATTCTTGACGGGTCTTCTCCTCCTTTTTTAAGCGCTCTAAGGAAGCAAAGAATTATATTTATAAGCAATTTTTTCCTCTTGTCATCCTTAGAAGGTTCAGGGGCAGGGCAATGGGGTGGCAAGAAGGGTGGGAAGATTAGTATATGCTGTGACAATTCCTTCTCCAGTCTGCAGCTGGAAGGGTGACTGGGAAAGATAAAATAGCGAAGTAGAACTGTATGATTTAGATAGAAAGTCAAGAAAAAGTCAATGACTAGAGAAAAAAGTTTGAAGTAAGGGAACAGAAGCATAACCTCATCTTGACAGAAAATAAGGAATGGGATAAAGAGCAGTTTGAGCTGCTAGGCCAGATGATCATAGACATCAGGATTCAAAAATGAAGAACAACTATGGACTGGAAAAAATGATGGCTTGCATAGTTTTGGAAGAGCTAGGCTAGACTCCAAAAGGTCTACTGGAAAATAGTATAGCTTGAAGAAAACTTGGATAAAGCATTTTTGCAAGTATCTGTGCCACTAAATCACATCCATTGATATTCAGCAAGACATTGCAAACCTGGTAGCTTCCAGTAATTTATTTGTGTAGCCAAGATACTCCTGCCCTAAGGTATTCCTTTGTGAAGGCCGTCCAGTTATCAGTGTCACAGCAATAAAATACATTTAGGTGATCTGCCTGTTGCCTGATTAAGATAGTTACTGGCTGCATTGTTTGCAGTTAGCTAATGACCAGGTATATTTAAGTCACAGGAGGTTTTGCTTAGCATAGCATTAGCACAATTCTATATGCAGTAGCATAAATATAAGTTATTAGACTTGTTCAATACTTTGTGGGTCCTCAGTGAAGAGATTTCTCTCACACCCTTCCTAAGCCTGCTACTGGATCAGGACATCATCTTCTACATGGAAAGGGAGCCATGTTCAAGAATCATCTCTTAGAGCCACCCAGGGCTATTTGGGATTTTCCAGACAATCTAAAGTAACACTTTTTCCCTAAACAATTCCTCATTCAAAAAAACCAGCACTTTTCCCTTTGTTTTTACATCATATTTCTGGTGAGTGACAGTTAGAACAGTGTCATAAGACCCAATTTTATAATTGATAAAGCTCACAGTCAACTGAATTAGGTTTGGGGTTTTTTTTTTCCCTCCCTCCGAATTTCAGTACCTAGCAGTGCCAAGACCCTAGCAGAGAGAGCTTAATGGCTTCTTGAATCATCTCAAAGAGTAAATATCATTTTACTATGCTTTACTAGCCAAGAAATTGCATGTCTTCTATTTAAGCTTTAATTTCCATTTCTAAGGTCATCAGTCTTGGAACAGTACCATAACTAAACACATCTGTCAAGTCTTTTCAGAAACACTAGTCCTGATTTAAGCACACAACTACTCAAGCATTATTTTCCAGTGAGTAAAGGTACTTATGCCTATCTTAAGGTCTCTGAATATGATTTTTAAAGAAGAGGTACACCAATCACCTACTATCCCTATTAGTTCAATGCCTTCCTATACAGATAAGATTAAACTCTGGTATTCTTCCATAAGCACATCAGTTTTAAAATATGTAGCAAGACAGGCCATAATATAGTAAGTGAAAAAACTATTTCCAAATTAGGGCACAGAGAGCAACTTTGCCTTATATTTTGCAACTTTGATTTGGCAGTTTATTAATGTTGTACAATAGCTATTTACAGCCATAACTAATTAAAAACAAAACCACATAAAATCAATAAAGGTTACATATAGGGCTAGTTTAGCCTGTGACAACACAGGCAAAACATTCAGAAATAAATGGCCAAAGAAATTGAAGCATTTTAGATAAACAAAGCATTAAGAAAAGCAAAACAATTCAGATTTGCTTACTCAAAAAATACTAAAGCCTAACGAATGCCTACTAACATTCTTCCAGAAATACATTGTTCTAATATGTTATTATAGAAAAGTGTAGCAACTTCCCAAGAGACAGATGTTTTACCTTGTTACTAAGGGATGCATGCAACAACACGGATTTCTGAGCGTGTCTATAAATGAAATGTATTCTCAAAAATGAAAAACTAACAAGTTAAACATCAGAAAGACTGAGCAGCTAAATGCAACAAGTCTTGCAAGCCACACAAATTTCTTTCAAGATTTAAGTAAAAATAACAGCTATTAAGGTATCTACATATAAGATTACACTTAGCAGACTGGACCAGACACTGCATACATTGTAATAAGTGATCCATTCCTTTCTAGCATGATGTCCAAGCTGTTAATAGGCAAATGTAGTAAGAACAAACCTTCCAAATCGGTGATCATCATTTCCTGCTTGTTCTTGAGTTTGGCCAAGTTTTTGGCCTTTTCTTCTTCTTCAGCCAGCTGAGAAGTACATTCAGCAATTCGATCCTCCATCAGCTTCTTTTCCTAGTTAGGAGAAAGGGGAGAAAGAATAACTTCTAAAATACAATTTGAAGAGTCTCTAAGCAGCACAAATAACTGAATATACAAAATCCATATATAGAGGTCTCATACAGCATATATAATACAGATTTTATTTCAAGTGACTGATCTGTCAATATTAAGAATGAATTGGAATAGTATAGAAACATGAACATTTATTTTCCAAGAAAGTGAGACTTGGAATTTAACACACAGGAGGCCTGGTTTTAGGACAGCCTTTGCTGCACACTTTTGGAAATCTGCTAGCAAAGAACAACAATAGCTACGATAAACGCTGTTTCCAGCTCTTAGATTTGGAAGACTCATGAAATTGGAAAGAATGCATGGCAAATACCTCCCTTTTAAAGGTCAGTTTAAAAGAAGCTTTAAGTGTGTCTCACTTTCAACTTGTTCAAACCCCACAAGTCTTCAGGCACAAACTCTATAGATAACGTAACAGCAGTCTCAAATGTTTTGTGAGCTATCACTTGGTACTGCGCAGAATCTCCACCGTGCATACTTGTCTCACCTTCAAAAATTTGGAATTTTGGTCCTCCAACAGTAGGATCTCTTCCTCCATCTTCTTGATCTTAGCTTCAGCTGTCACTTTTTCAAGCTGCAACTTCTGTCGAGCTCCCTCCTCCTCATCAAGCTGTTCCTCCAGGTCCTGGAAAGAAAGGCAATTGCATCTGTGCATTTTCCAGGTTACCCATGTGTTAATTTTTTTTTTTTTTAAATTGGTGAAAAAAATGCATTATTTTGAAAAGCCATCTGCCCTAACTAACACTAAAAATGCATTTGCTTTTTGTTAGATTCATTTATATCAATGATCTGGTAATGAAATTAAGGGCCATGTGATACACATGGAATTTTTTATACTCTATTTCAGCTTTGGCTGAAATATGCTGTCTAGGAAACATACACTCACTTCACCAGAATCTTTCACCTTCTTAATTCTGAACATAAAATAATCTACTTAATGACAACCAAATCAAATCAGGCTTTATGTCAAATACTTCCTAGCATACTGCATCTGAATAGGGCATCTGGTGTAAAAGTGCAGTGTCTGGGAAGAGATGCCACAGGAAACAGATCTTCTGATTTCAGTATGAATCTAGATCTCAATATTACAGCTGAAATGGTTCAGATACTGGCACAAATAGCTAGATATAACTAGAAAAGTAATAATGTATTGTGCTTCTATTCATTCACAATTTTAAATAAGGTTCTCAGCCACACATTAATGGACACTTATTAAAAGGCATCAAGAGCTCTGAGATGTGGCGTTTATTTCCCCTTCAAGTACTTTGAATATTTTGAAAGACAGGTAAGTTCTCAGGTATTCCCTTTTTCAAGGCCTCCATGTATTCAAAAGGAAGCATCTAAATCATCTGATTTTCACAAATAAACCCCAAGTAACTTGAAGGAGATAAAGTTGTCTTAGTTTCGTAAAAGTCAAAGATGGAATATTCTTCATGATATTCACTGGATTGCAGTCAAAAAGGAACATTTCTCTCATAAGTGAGATCATCCCATCAGTCTTTGTTTCCATAAGAAAGCAAGTAAGCCCCATGCAGTCATTCCTGGTTCCTCCCCCCCAGAGGTGCTTGCTACCTTTAATACTCTATCTGCATACGCTATAGCTACCAAGAGGGCATTCTGACTTTTTTTCTTTCCTCACCCTCATATGCCTGGAGACCACAAGAAGCTAAACACACTGAACGGAGGAAGAGAAGAGAAAAAAATTCAAATTGATTTTATTCCACACATGGTGCTAAGGAGCTAAATTCCTCCATGCCATAGAGATGCTGAGGGAGCTTTCCCATCCTTAACTGTCCTGTTCGCATGCTTTTCCTTTTCCAGTTACCAAGAGGCATACCTGAATATGGCCCTGCATTTTCTTCTTCTCATTCTGCAATATTTGGTTTCTTTCCTCTTCCTCCTCAACCCTTGACTCCAAATCATGGAGAATTTCTTCCAACTCTTGTTTTTTGGCAGCCAAGCGAGCCCTCATCTCCTCAGCTTCTGCAAAGAGCTCTGTCTCAGCCTGTAGCTGCTCTGCAAGAATGTTCTTCTCTTCTAGAAGCTAAAAATATACACAAAACATAGTAAAGCAGTAAAAACAACATTTCAGTGTCTTTCATGAGAGATTATATGTATGACAACTACAAAGTTACTTAAAGGCCAAGTTCTGCTCCAACTCTTGACTTGGTCTGACCAACCCTGGCCAATATCCAAAACCAAAGACTTTTAGCGGAGGGCTCTATCAGCAGTCCAGAAGACACCAGCTTTCATAATAGGGCTACAGCAATATTGACTCACTTGTCCCCCCAGTCTAAGGATCAGATCCCACTGTACCGACCACATATGCCCTGTTCTACCAGCAGCAAAAAGATGAGGGAAGTGCCTGTTTCCTGGACTGTTCCTCGCACTCTTCCCTGCATAGTGACAGAGCAGTGCCATGGGCAGCTGGGCTGAAGCTGGCACTTGGAGTCACTGGAACAGAACTGGGACACATTACTTCTTGCTATGTAAGCTTGACAATAGAATAGAATAGTCCCAATTGGGAAGGACCTACAATAATCATTTATTCCAACTGCCTGATCACTTCAGGGCTGACCAAAAGTTAAAGCACATTAAGGGCATTGTCCAAATGCCCTTTAAACACTGACAAGCATGGGGCATCGACCACCTCTCTAGGAAGCCTGTTCCAGTGTTTGACCACCCTCTTGGTAAAGAAATGTTTCCTAATATCTAGTCTGAACCAACCCTGATGCAGCTTTGAACTCTGAACCATTCCCATGTGTCCTGTCACGGGATCCCAGGGAGAAGAGATCAGCACTTCCCTCTCCACTTCCACTCCTCAGGAAGCTGTAGAGTGCAGCTTATAAGCCATGCCTTCCAGCCCTTTCATCAATAGGAACTGATGCTTTGCCATTCTAGATATCCATCCCAGTTCTATCATGTCTCAAAATTACCATAGTGATAAATACATGTCTATCTTTACTGAATCTCTTTCAGCTGTTCTTTAAATTGATATCACTGTTGCTTATCAGCATAAACTCATTTTCAGTTTTGCCCAATAATTTTCGTAATTGCTTCTCCATGTCTTAAACATCATATATACACCACAGAAATATCCTACTCTGAAAACACATCTGAAAAGGAAAATGACACTGCTGCTGAAATTCTCCTGTAAACTTGGAAAGGCAAAAAAAAAGTGTAGTTTCATTAACATGATGTTTCTGCATTCCTGGAGGAATAGCTCATGCTATATCTTCCTATTCCAGATTTTAGCAGAGTTAGCTCTCCTGTTTCACAAGCATCTCCCCAACGTGGCTCCCTCACGCAGGATATAGTGCAATATACATTCTGCATATCAAAAGCTGATCTTGGGCACAAACCTGTTGATGTTTCCTTTCCATTTCCTCAAGTTCTGCCTCCACTTTTGTCTGTTTTTCTTTCACCTTCATTAGCTCCTCGTCCTTGGCTTGAAGTTCTTCTTCTTGACGAGTGACCTGAAGAAGAGGCTTCACCTGCAAAGATTTGAAATGAACAAGTAAGAACCTGCATCTACCTATTTACAAAAGTCAAAGAAAGTGACAGAATATAACAAACCTTCGTGAAGACTCTCCACCACTGCCAGTGCCTAAGCTTTAAATATGCAGCGCAATTCCTCTGCAGGATTTTCAGTGCACTCAGTTGCTGTTGTTTCTTTGCAAAGGCCCTGAAGACAGAAAGAGCAAAACATTTAACGTTAAATACAGCTGAGCATCTGTCCATGTTTTCAATTTTTATGTTACCCAGCCCTAGAACACCTGCAGACCATAAGTAAGCTTATTTTAAGTTTCAGTGACTACACTGATTTATGAGTCCTCATTCCTATACAAAGAAGCAGAGCAAGAGCTGGATTCACCATTTTCAAAACAATTACAAATACTGTTTGTTCTTACTCTTAACAGACGTTTTTCCTAAAAAGATAAAATCAGGATGGATTAGACGCTGAATTGTCCTTTAATTTCAGAAAAGCAACTTTCCAGACTATCTCCAAGAACTTCCAGTGGAGCAGAAAGAGAGATTTTTTGCAGCCACTAGCTGTACCATAAACTGCTGCATGTGTCACAAAAGGAAGATTAAGGAAAGGAAATACTGCTATGGAATGAAGGTTCAAATTCTTATTATTAGGTAAAAATTCACCTATTTACCCTGGATACAACTACAGTTTATCAGGCAACGCGCTTTCTTAAGAAAATCTCTCCTGAAATGAAAGTTTTAATGCATAGCTCCCTATCAAAGAGGCTGAAGATGACCACAAGAAAAATCAAACCATAAGAGCACACATACTTCCTGGCCAGGTATCCTCTACAGACTGCCTGGAAGAAGATGATAATGTCTGTGATCTTCAGATCTCGTTCTTCTTCTAAGTGTGCCAAGACACCAGCTCGGAAAAAGATCTTGCTCTGTCCAATTCTGTATAAGTTGGGGTCCAGCTCTAATGCTCTGATCTAAATGGACAGGCAAGCGCATTGTATTTACAACAAGGAAAAGACAATTTTTTTTTTCCAACTTTTCAATATTTTAACAATATATAGGTGTAAACACTTACCATACGCTCACAGGCTTGCTTACCATCCATAAAACCTTTTGGGATTGCATTGGGAGTAAGGATCTCATACCTTTAAGTCAAATGAAAAAACACCTTTACATTCAACAATAAGCTACATTATTATAAACCCATAAAGTTATAGTCATCAAGTGCACACCTAAGGAATTTCTCCAGAAAGTTTTTCCAGAAGTCCATTTTAGATTGGTTTCCTCTTCCCTAGTGTCTTTAGAATAAACTTGTAATATTTAACTGCTTCAAGTTCAAGCCACTTCAAGACCTCACACATGATTTTGGATTTTCTTCCAGTTGGGTTGGGGGAGGGAGTGGGGTGTGGGGTGTCTTCAATTATTTAACAAGGAACTTTATCTTATAAAAACCTCAAAAGACTGTTCCTGCTGTTACCTCTGTCTAAATTCCTGGAACACTATCCTGTTTGGAAATCCTTGTCGACAAATCCTTATTCCTTCCAAAACACCGTTGCAACGAAGCTGATCTAGAACCAGATGTGGATCCAATTTTCCAGCCTGGACAAACAAAACAAGCATGATTTTTAGTCTTTTAATTTGTATTAATGAAAAACTGTAGTTTATGTTTTTTAGGCTACCCTCTACAAAGTCAGCTGTCTAAATAAGGGGATGTGCGGGGAATACTGAGAAGATATTTGATCAGTGTGAAAACTTTGAGAAACCTGGCTTCTGATTTCAAAAGGAAGACACAGACAGCATGCATAACTTAAAATGCATGTAAAGACTTTAATAAAGAGAAAGTATTAGAGAAGTGGTCTGTAGTACATACCCTCTTTTCATGATTTGGAATGATGCAGCGAACAAAATTGGGATTAGTGTTTCGGAGCGTTGCCATCAGCTTGGTGAGAGATTCTTTGTACAGTTGGCCAACAGTACGAAACATGCCCTTCTTGGTCTTGTACGCAGAGCCAAAAGCTGTCTCTGTTATTCCAGTGACCTGATCCAGACCCACAATACGATCCACTGGGAAGGACAAGTGAAAATAATTAAGTGGACTGTAGTATTTGTCAGGTATAAAGATAGGCAGAAAGAGGAGCAATAGTGCAGCAGCAGAAGCTTTGTGGAACAAATGACAGAAGATGCCATCAGTAGGCAAGGCAGTCAGCATGTACTAGGGACGCTGTGCAGAAGCAGTGGAACCAAAAGCCACAAACTTATACAGCAGAATAGTGTAGCTTTAGTAGGTACAGACTAAAATATCCAGCTCTTTACTTGCAGTTCTACATGACCAGGAAAGCCATTTTCTTTATTTTAAGTCAACTTTTGAGAGAGAGAAAGTTGCCTGGAAACTGGCCTTTATTTGAATTCTTACAATGCAAAATATTTCTGGGTTCAATATTTGGAATTAGACATCTGTGTATATTTGCTTAAAATGAAGAGTCACTTATGATAATTATATAGATTAAATCTGAGTTTCATTGAATATTCAAACATGTTTTGAAAGCATAGCTATTTACAGAAAAGTTGGAAATAGTGTTATTTCAGTGAAAAGAGGGGGGGGGGGGAAGTATCTGCCAGACTTCTGCTAGTCTGCTATTTTGAAGAATTCTTCCAAGTTTTATATACAACTGCAAAGACCTCCCTAGCCAAAAGAGAAGTTTCAAAACAGGAAAACTGCACACCAAAGCACTTCAAAGCTGCTATAAAGCATCAGAATAGAGATTTTTCTTTGATTTTTTTTTTTTTTTTAACATTTTGGGTAAGGATCTCTATGGTTTATTCTTCAGAAGCACAAATTAGAAATCTGACTGCCATCATCAAAACCTTTAGGCCAAAAACATGAACATGATTCCATGTGCATGTCAACAATTATTTAAACAACTCGCTAAGAAATACAAGTGTCTTAACACCTTAATAATTATAGTTGGCACTTCTTAGGACTGAGCAAATACACAACATACATTGGTTCTTTATGCAATGCAAGCTGGCTAGCCAGAAACAAGCAACTATATGTTGTGAAGTTATCTTCAAATTCCTTCAAACCAAAGCAGAGGGAATTTTGCTTTGCTACCAGAATTAGCTTTTTATATGAGAAATAAGTGACAATATTTTATTTCATACTCGTACTCAACTGGTTTTCAAAGGTCTACAAAAAAAGGAAAGTTAAAAGCAGAAAAATACAGGGCAACAAGTTTCAATAATCACTTGTAGTCTTGCATGTAGTATAGAGCAGAGCCCAAATCCTCCACACAGTTTTGAACACCAGAATCTAAGCTGCTTATTAAAGTTAGAAGAATAAGTAGGTGGTAAGTTGTTCGTAAGATCATACCCCAAGTATTTACTTTGAAGCAGAATTCAGTTCTAAACAAGAAATGGGACGGAGATTACTGGGAATCAGTCTTACACAGGATGAACATAACAGCTTGTAAATATTAGAAACATGCACCCATCAGACACCATTAATGACTGGACACCATTCAACTTCTGTTTGGCCAAGTACTTTAAAAAATTTTGTAAATGTATCTGTTAATTGTGCATCTTTTGTTTTGCTCCCCTCTGTCCTCCAACTATAATACGGTTATTTATATTTCAATGAGGATTATTAAAGTTAAATCTATGCCTTCCCTATAGGTTAAGAGCAGTCATTGAACAGCATGACTGGACCATCATCTATTGGCTAAAGCCTCTGAACAAAATCCCTCTAGTAATTACTTTAGGAAACACCACTAGCTTCCTCAAGTATGTGACATATCAGGAGTAGTGGAAGATAAACTCAAGTAAAGATCGAACATCTGAAGGCACAACCTTCATATACATGTATTTCTAAACTTGGGGAGAAGAGTACAAGAAGGATGAGGAAGAGGTTAGATAAAATATCTGAAGCGTCTTCAAAAAGACATTCCAAATAAGTGAATTTGTTGATTTCTCGATACCTCAAAAAACGTGTACCAATTCTACAGAGGGAAATATTAAAATTAAAAGGTTTTTAAATAAAGGAACAATTCCAACAAGTCTGGAAGAAGTTTATTTCACTTACTAGCCCCACTACAACTGCAGCACTCATGCTGATACTTCAATACATTCTTCAGCTCTCCTCCCAAAAAATACATCCACATTCTAAAACGTTCCAGAGTTTTGTCAATGTTGGACTGCAGAAAGAAGCTTGATAGTGTTATAAAGCTTATGCATTCTCTCAAATGCTTGGAGCTACCAGAATTATCACTTAAGAAGCAATTCTGCATCTCAACATGGAACTAGGAAGCAACAAACCTTTTTATCTGCAATGCTTAAATGCAATGCATAAAATACAGATGCTATATGTATGCAGCAGCAACTGAATAGGTATGCACTCAATAGACCATTTGCCTTGTGGAGGTATACCTAAGTTTAGCATGAAATGAAAAGTTCATGCAAGCCTACGAGCAAAAATGGTTTTCCTGTAGATACAACAGCCCTGCCTTTAGTAGGCCTACTGTTTTTATATCCATTCACCTGGTGGATCATGAAGACCAGTAATATTGTCATAGAAACAGGCTCTCTGAATATTCTGAATCTCTAAGGCAGAGAAACAGCAAAAACAGAAAGACAGAAGAGCAGATACACAAGACACTTCAGTTAGTATACAGAACAGGTTTATCAATTGCAAACAGACTTAACTGTGCTACAAAAGCAATTAGGCCACAACATATTCCATGCACATTTCAATTATTTGTGGAAGCAAGTTTTGCATATTTGGACCAAAACACTTTTGCTTCTGTGCGTGTACTCAAAAGGAAAGGAGCAGATCCCCAACCAAAAAGTTCCTTATATATTCATTAAAACAGCTCTCTCTAGCTGAATCAAATAAGTATTCCTGAGAATAAGAGGGAAACTCAGTATTAACCTACAGCATTATCTGTATCACAAGATTAATTTCCTCCTGGAATAAGAAACTACATGATTTACATACTGTGGCATGTAAATATACTCTGATTAATATACTGTGATATTAAAAACTAGAATAGAAAAGTTCTTGTAAGTATTTATTTGGCTATTTCTGCTTCTTGGGGTATTTTGGTAAAAACGTTGATAAATACTTTAAGCTGATGCGCAGGTAGACTAGCTAAACAGCACTGTACAATTAAAATAAGAAAATATTGCATTTGATTTTAATATGCAATATCTAAGCACTAGTATGGCTGTTAATGAATTTTATTTTAGGAGATGCAGATTTCCAGGATATGACCCACTACTGCACAAGAAACAACTGTGCTGGTGCTCACATAAGACAACATTTTATTAACAGCAAGTACCACTACAGCTGTTTACATTCAGGACTTAACTGCAGCAATTCAAATTAAGAGTGTTGGACAAGATTCCACAGACGGAATTTGACACAGGGTAACAAGTAGTAAGTGAATATCACTTCAAATAATGAACATGAGAAGCAGCTACTCAGAAATGGTACATGTGCAAGGGACCATAGGTGCAACCCAGCTTCCTTCTTGTACTTTTGGCACTAAACAATAGAGAAAATGCTGTAGATGTTTACAATGTAGAGGTGGAGGGTGAGGAGGGAACAGGCACAAAAAAAAAAACCTCATCCAGCAAGGTAAAACCGCTAACAACTTGTGTACTCAGAGCATGATCTCTTACCATCCTTCCAAAGCTCTGCAACAAATTTGTCAGAAGACTGGTGCAAGAGTGTAGCCACATTATCATTCAGGGGGTCCATATTCTTCATCAACCACTCATCTGCCTTGTAGTCTACCTGTAGAGTAGCCAAGTTGCACATGATCAGATAGACTACCAGCTTTAGTTTTAAATTTACCAGCATGAAAAAAAAAGCTTTCAAAATACTATATTGATGTTTTCCTCCTATTCTCTTCTTGATGTTTGCTTGCTGTGAGTTTGTTGTGCCTCCTTAGAACAGTTCAATGTACCATGAAAAGTTATTATTCTTTTAAAAGAGTAAATGGGAGTTTTCTTAAACATTTAGCAATTGGACTTTTTGCTTACTAATAGCTGGTATACATGTTCAGCCTAGCGTTATTGCCAAAATAAGGGTTCACTGTTCACTGTGAAGCTGTAAAAACAACTCCAGTATAGATCCTAATTACTTTATCTAAATTATTAGAGAGTAAATTAAGGATGTGCTGCAACATGATCTTTTTTAAATTTCACTACAGCAGTTATACTTAAACACTTTGTTCTATAAAGAAAACAAACAAAGCTCTTATCTTGAAAGAACCAATTCTGTGGTTTGCAATTAAACTATAGCTCAGCAGTTGAAAACTCAATGCTACCAGCATGGTTTCATCCCAAACCAAAAGAGAGCCCTAAAATTCCGTAAGTCCAACAAGACGTCTATGTAGACTAGCATGTTTTTGCTTCAAACAAACCGTGAGGTTTTTTTAAGTAAGAGCTCTGGAAGGAAAGCCACATTTAAATGCTTCCAGCATCCAAAACCAAATCAGATCATCATCTTAGTACTTCTTGCAGTAAAAGCTATTTTACAAATTATTCTAGTTTTGAAGGAAATACGCATTCTGACAGAAAATTGAAAAATGCCTTCTGTCAGAGGAAGATATGCAATGCAGTGCCAGTATCCCAGAAATGCCCACTCAGTTTGGCAGAAGTAAAGCATTCTTCAGAACAATTACTTTCCAGTAGTCAGACACCAAGCTCTTCTACTTCATTTTGATTACCTAAAGGTAACCTTTTGTTTCACAACTAATCTACTATTAACTGCAGTAACAGTGATGATTTCATTATTTCTAAGTTACTGTTTTAAATATTGATACAATAAAATGTATGATTTCTTTATTTCTTTTTTTTCTACAATTACCTACTTGGGACCATTGACATCAAAATATAGATAATAACAAGCCATTAGTACTTTAAATGAAAATTAAAGGATGGCTCTTAATCATTTGCACGGTTTCTTCTAAATATCAGGGCAAAAACTGGTACTAGAATTAAGTTTTAACTATTTATGAAACTAATTACATAGCATGGCCCTACGGAATAGACCTGGTGATCATGAAGGTTCCACAAAATGCTGACAAGAACTGCATAGTTATTTCATGGACCTGTTCACCTTGCAGCTGAGTTCCGTTCCTCAATGGGAGAATAAAGATTGAACTAACAGTAAAAACAAAAATATATCGGCTTACCTATAAAAGGGGACATACTGAAAATCTTATGTGAACTGAGGAGATAAAAGTGAAGAGGGTACTGACACAGCCCTACTTCAAGCACTACTATCAACTTGGAAACAGATATTCAGAAGAGATTCCTTTCACTACAAGTCCTGTAAAAAGATCTGATAACAAAATTAAAGGAAAACGAAATATGTGCTTTATTTAATTTTAATTTATATTTTTCAGTTCTGCCTATTTGGTAACAAGAGCACTCCTGAATATGTTCAAGAAAATGAAACAAGGCCACCCTCCTGCACAAGTATTTCTAAATTTCGATACCATGTAGTACTTTCCCAAACCCAACATTTCTAACCAAGTATTTAACATTTAACCCTTACCTTCCCCGCATAGTGAATAATGCAGAAATCTGCTTTGTCCTTTAGCTGTCTTGGCTTTTGGAACTTGGAATGCGTTCCTTGCTCTTGGACCAATTTTTCCACAAACGTCTTGTCAGTAGCTTTAGGGAACCAGCATTCTTCATCCAGTAACGCTAACACACCAGGAGGATTTGCCTGAAATCCAGTTGGATTTAATCTGTGTTACTATTTAATATTTTTTTTTTTTTTTATTTTAATATTTAAAACACACCATCAAATGCCACAATAAGAAGTTGCCTAAACCTGATTCAAATTTGAATTAAATTAAAACAAGCTGTGGAGGAGTCCAGTTCAATGAACGACATTATGATTGGTTCAAACAAATTCATTCTAATGTATATTGGAGCCAGACATGAGTGACCTGATCTAGTGCTGATTAGAGACTTGCTTTGAGCAGAGACTGGAATAGATGACCTCCAGAGTTACCTTCCAAACATTTCTGCGACATGTACATACACAGCAGCTCATCTGTATCTCCACAGTAGTTAATGTCATGCTTTAATGTGGGCTAAACTGAAGACAATTATCCCTCCCAGCCACTCGATACTACTGTGGCAGCCACTGAGGCTCCTCTTGCCAAGCCCTGTGTTGATATCCAGTAGCAGCATCCAAAGAGATTCAGCAGGCATAACTTGAGCAGCTAGCATAGTTTTATATACTCCCTTTCTTTCCATACAATTTAAGCACTCCATTTGAAGGTTTGTTCATTCTTAAAGTGAAGAGGGGAACAAACAATGTCTGTATTTTGCAGCTGTAGAATTGTTTGACAGGATCATTTTCCTCAGGGAAGACAGACTGACGTACACAGGAAGGCAATGGAAAAAAGCGTCTATCATAATTTATTGTTCAAAAGTTTCTAGTGAATGTAAAGTTTACACATTTGAAGAGGGATGTTTCTATGTGCCTACTACATGGCATCACATTTACAGAACAATTATGAAGGTACTTATATTTGCTTTTCAAAAAGAAAAAGTAAAATCAAGTAATTTGATGCATTTTAGGATATTCACCTAAACATCTGCATACTGAAAGCATCCACACTTACCCCCTCAGGCTTTTTGGCAGAGATTTTACGTTCCAAGGAGGCAGAACTTTCTGAAGTTCCACACACAAAGTGCAAACCTTTGATAACTGAAACCAGATTTCCCTTTTCCCTCTCTAAAGAAAAACAACAATGTGGCTCATGGGCTTTTCTGCTCTTCAGGATGCATAGCATCATTGGCAGCTTATGTGTATTCTAGAATACACACACAGAAATGTAAAGTAGTAAGTACAATGCCCTAGATTTAATTTAAAAGGTCATGAAATAATTTTGACAGCATAGTTCTGAGGTGTGAAGAATGATAACTTTCAGGAAGGATGATCTTTGTTCTCCCCCGTCCTCTGCCAACCCAACTGCTCCTCCCGCTCTTTGAAGCCCTCTTCAAGTTTCCATATATTGAGCAACCAGAAGACCATGTTAAAAAGCACAGTGATTAAAACCATCTTTAAGACATTGCTTTCCTACTCGCAAGGCAGATTTATGGGGAAAACTCTACCCTAAATGAAGTTTGAGAAATTTTGCTATTGATCTCAAATGAAAAAAAGTTTACCGTAAGTCTTGAAAAGCTTTCTAACTGAGCCACCACTCTAAAGCTCCTATAACACAGTGGCATTGTTTAATATGAAAGTGACAAGACTAAAGACTTAGTAGTAGGGGGAAAAAAAGTATAAGAATAGTAGCTTAATATCTTCAGCTCAGTGTTCTACCCTAACATCACGGCAAAATCCCATAAGGATAAATCCTTTTACTAATACATGGTATTTTAGACTTTGGATTTCAGTCTTCAAGTTAATTCACTTTTTGTGACAGCTCTGCAAGAAATCTCTGTACAGTCCTACAATTTGCAGGCAGTAAAAGACAAACCCATAAATGGAACCTCTGCTCCTTAGAGCATTATTAATGCACAAACTTACAGGTCTTTCGATTAAGTCAATGCAAGGCTGCAGATCCAGTCCAAAGTCAATGAAATTCCACTCTATACCCTCTCGTTGGTACTCCTCTTGCTCCAGGATAAACATTGTGTGGTTAAATAACTGTTGAAGCTTCTCATTGGTGTAGTTAATGCAGAGTTGCTCAAAGGAGTTCAACTGCAAAAATAACATTAGTAAGCAAGAATAATTCAGTGACAGGATTTATCACATATCTGGAAGTAAAAAATTTGACCTTACAAGGAAATTCCCCAAAACTCTGCAGCATTCAAATACATTGTAAAGAAAATTGGAAAACACACTATTCAAATCCCTTATGTTCTGTGTTACAAATAATTAAATAAGGTATAGTAGGAAAAACCATCACATGTAAGAGAATGATTTAGACTAAAGTATGAATTTAGCGCTGTAATTTAGGGTTGTCAAAGCATTTGCACGCTACAAAACAAAACCCTCCTGCAGCCTTGGAACATGCATGGATTAAGTGGCTCTACACTTAGTCCTGAACGCACATTAACAGGGAAAAGAAAAATCTGATTAGCAGTGTTTTGAAGTACCTCGAAGATTTCAAATCCAGCAATATCCAGAATTCCAATAAAAGACGCTCCCTGTCGTTTGGTCCTGTCCAAAGCTTTATTAATGCGGTGAACAAGCCAGCGGAAGAGGCGTTCATAGGTGGCCTTTGCCAAAGCTTCCACTGCAAAGTCTGCCTGAAAATCCGAACAGGAAAATTTATTTGCCCTGGAGAAGTCATCAAAAGAACACAGACATGAATGTTATCACAAATAACTACCTAAGAGAAGAAGTTTAATGGAGTTAATACCACTGAGGAATGAAAACAAGCAGTAGAAACAGTATGTAGTTTGATTAGTGATACGAAAAATTTGTATTTAAACTGTTCCATAAAAAAAAAAACCAGAAGCTCTCTGTGCGTTTGATACATACAATAGTGACATTAAAGAATGAAACCAGCAGAAGGTCAAGGAAAGGGAAAGGTTTCTTCTATTCTACCATTGATTTTTACCATATAAGAACATTTAATAAAGACAGTAAGCTTAAACAAAGACCGTGGCAGTACACACTTAATTCCAATTTTCTTTATTAAGAGCTAATCAAGATGAGGTACACCTTCACTTCATCTTTAAAGCACCAAAACTTACTTGTTCTTTGGTCTGGGCTTTCTGAACGTAGTCTCTGCCAACTTTGATGCGCGGTGTCAGTATGGCACGGGTGAACTCCATTACGTTCATTCCCAGTAGATGGCAGAGTTTCTGTGCGACTGGAGATCAAAGTAATAAATCGAAGAATTTAAATCCTCCACCCTCCACAGCAGCTAGCAACATCGGTGAAACAAGCTACTGACAAAGGCCATCATATGCCAGCTTAAAAATTGAACTGCCAGTCGAAATAGCAGTCAGGGCAGTGCCCTTCTGTCCTGTGGACAGACCTACCCTATGACACAGCCTGCGGCTGCAGGGATTCCACCTCAAAGGCTGATGGAAGTCTCTACAGAAGTACACCACTGAATTTTATTAGGGGAGTGCAGAAAACACTAGATTTCATGAAATTGCAAGGACGTCATTTAACAGTCCGTAGCCCACACACTAGCATTCATTTTGATACTTTAATAGGGAACATTCATTTTCTCATCCCCAGAAAAAAAAGCACAGTATGAGGATATCACACTAAAGGTTGATAAGCAACCATCATACTAAAGGTTGCTTAAAAACTGTTTCAATTTAGGCAGGTATGCCAGTGTAATGCTTCTATTACAGACTATATCAAAATACATTATTTAAACTATTTAAAACATGGGTTTGTAATATTTTATATAGAATAACAACGCAAGCAGCAGCGCACTTTCTTTAGACAGCATGAACTCTCCTGGTGTCATGTTCGTTTTTTGAAATAACACGTTACCCACACCATCATTACATATTCTTGCTGCATCAACCCCTTTTTCTAAGTAAATTTGCCAGTAGGTTAGGTGTTTATGATTCCATACTTCTAAAAATGAAAGTGACACTGAAGGTATTTTTAGGTCCGGGTAAGTGTTGCCCTTTAGCAGGAAGCCCTCCACACTATCCAGTAAGTACTTTAACCCTTTATCTTTGTAACCTGACAGCTTGTTGTTTTACTGTCAAAATGAAAAAAGCTATTTTTACAAATCAGCATTGGAAAATAAATTTTAATACTAATATATAAGAGCTTCCTCTGCTTTTTTCTTTTTTTTTGCTGGTATTAAAAACACTACTACTTGCTCTTAATGTTGAGATTCTCCGTCTGGCCGTATATTCATTAGAAGGGTTCATGAATCAACACACAATCAGTGAAATTAGGGTAGCATCACAAATTGAGCACTCCTTTCACTTTAGCTACATAGAGGAGCATTTCTGTGCTTTGAGTATAAAAATACACATCAGCACATCAGATAAAACTTAAAACCTTAGGTGTCAAGTAGCAAGTGTTGTCAGAAGGAACGAACTTGAAAATATTAAGTAGCCATGAGCATCAGCTTAGTACTGTGGCACAATGGATACTATATAAAGGATATTACAGTTTTTAAGGAAGGAGGGCTTTTTTCCCCCCTATGCAGTACTCCAGACATTACACTCAGCTCCTCTTTCATGAACCTGTGACATGGAATTTATTGTCCCTACCTTTCCAGTTTGTAATAAACCGTAGCTTAGGTAATAATAATAACAATAAAACATAGCAGAGGTAATACTAAAAATCACATCCAGTTCAGACACTGACGGAGGCTGTAGCCAGCATTTCAGAGGTTTGACTGAAGGAAACTAAACCATTTTCAGGTCAAAGCTCTATCACTTCTAAGTGTAGGACTGGTTCACACTGTTTCAGCTTGATTAATCTTGCATTTTAAAAAAACCGTAATTCATCTTGTTGGTTTATAACTGAGGAAGGTCCATTTAAAAGGTGCGATTGTAGAAAGCCCTGACTATCCTGACTTGTGTTTTATTACTATTGGGTTTTGCATAGAAAATTCTGAATTGTTATAAAGCAAAGATACTGAAAAGCTCATATCATAGTTGAAGCATGAACTTTATGAGGTTGCTTATGAACCTCTGCCCTTTCGGTAGAAAGGCTTCTTCCAAATCTGGTAAGCATGAAATGGTTCTCTAAATACAGCTTCTCCCTCCTCTTCATTCCATGAAGGCTTTATGGCTTTCTTGCCATCTCTTGTATCTATACTTGAAACCATTATTTGTTTATCTATATTTATTATCTATAGGGCAGAATTTGCTTTCCACATGCTTTGAGTAAGTTCACATCTCCACTACCCACACAAATTCCTTCCCATCTATGGAGACAGTAACCTGACCTATTTCAGACACATGCCTCTAAATGAGATGAATCGCTATCAAGACACACTTATTTCTCTGGAGGACACTAGGGAAACCCATTACAGTGAGATGTGACAATATAGATTTCAAGAAGGGAGAGATCAGTTTCACTCAAGTGTCTTCAGAAAGATACAGTAACAAAGACCACATAACCAAATGAAGTATTTTTTAAATACAAGAGAAAACAGAAACATGCTTTAACTATGATCTGAGCTTTTCAGCATCTTCGTTTCATAATTCAGAATTTTGTATCCAGTATTGTAAATATCCAATAGTATCAATATATTTATATCCAATATTATAACTCAGAATTTATGTCCAAAAAACAATGGTAATACAACGAAAGTCAAGATAGTGAGGAAGTAAGAAGCATCTGTATCTTTCTACATCACACGTTCTAAACGGACAGTGACTCAGTCGAGTTGTCTAAGCTGGCACTAAAAGCCCAAAAAACTAATCCCTCATCCAACCTTTTCTCCTCACTGCAAAACTCAAAGTGCCAACTGCCAGCCAAATATCGAGTCAACAACTATTGACCTTTAATCCATACCTGCTTGCTGGAGCACTTTGGGCAGGAGGCCACCACCCTGAGAAATGACAAAAATTTTGGACATTGGAAGCAACCTACATGCCTACATGCACATTAGCAATTTAGGACAATTATGAAACGAGACACAGACAAGAATTTGAGTTGTGCATGTGCAGCAGGTCCTGTGAATGATGGTTCTTACTGCTCTTTCCACTGATGTTAATTCTCAAAGCTGACTTTCCATGAGAGCATTTAAAAGGCTGGTACTGAACTACTAAATTAAAAACCTGAGATTTGCTTCAGCTATCTAAGAAATATACTCCTCAATATGCTGATCTCATTGCGGGTACTAACTGATAAATTAAATCTTAGTCACACTGCCATGCCACTTCAGAAATCAGATTTTTCCAAATACAGCATTCTTATGTTCAGCCATTTCACTATGGAAGTTGTGCTTGGCTCCAGGGCTCTTATCATTGGCAAGAAAACTGCTGTCAAGAACCAAAGAAAACAAACCGATTTAAGCATGCACTTTTTCCTAGTGCTTAAGTCTTTGTAGATAGCAATAAACAAGACTACAACTGAAATACTTCTTCAAAGTTTAGAAGCAATGCAAACAGCATAAATTCTGTTGATGGGTACTTAAATTTGTCTGCATTACGAGAATGGAAGAGGAGAGTTTTAATAATTGCCCGTTGGCTACTACCACAACAGTCATGGCCTCACTTTGGCACAGAACGCTATCAAGGAAGCTTAGAAGACTGCTCTGTGCTTTCAAAGATATGCACTAAACAAACGGCAGGAAGAAAACTACAGCGCAAGTTAAAGGAAGCCATACAAACGTGATCAACTTACCAGTATTCTCTGGCATAGAAGCTTGATCGGTATTTCTCTCCTTCTTAAAGGAAATATTTCCAAATTGTAGCACTGAAGACACCACCTTCAGCATTGCTGTGTTACCAAAAGACATATGCAAGAGTTTAATTGAAGAAGAATTTTTCTTCTGTTACTTGTGTCACTTTTGTTCCAAATTCAAAGTATGAGTTCAGAAAGGAAATAAAGTTTGTACTGTACTTTTTGGGCAAATGGCTTTAATTCAACTCTAGCTCATGTTAAGCAAACATTTGCTGCAGGCTGTCAAGACACTGAAGCAACATTAAACTTGGGGACATTAAATTAGCAAGTGAGTGTGCATGTGCAAAAGAGAAAAAAGTACACTTTAAAAATCCAAAAGGCTCAACAACTTACACAAGATCTCATCGTGTGAAAATCCCATGATATGCATGGCTTCCATAGTCTCCTGAAAGTTATCCTTGTCTTGTTGCCCAGGAATGGGGATGTAGCCATTAGATAAAAATCTGTAATTGTTAAATCCTTCAAGCAGCAAGTCAGCTGTATTAGGAGGAAGAGGAAGAGACAGAAAAATAAGAAATGCTGTTCACACCCATTTGTACTCTGTTCTCACTAAATGCACAGACTATGCTTTAGGAAATCAGTTCCTCAAATATCGCTGAAAGCCCTTATACCAGCTTCTGAAACTCTAAAAATATGAGTGTACCTTAGAAGCCGAAGCCAGATTCCCAGAATCTCTGTCTGTAGCAACCTACATTAGCTCTTTAATGCATTAAGCCTGTAAACAGAACATTACCGAACTCAGATCTAGCATAATCTCAAATCCCTATTTGGAATATCCTAAAAGAAGTATCCCTATTGAAAGGTAACAGACACAGGCAGATATGGAGTTAGATATTGACGATTACCACATCAAGGATGCTGAACACCGGTTTGTCTAATACAGGAGGAGAGAGAGTGGATCAATTCTCGGAAGTCTGTACCTTCACATAGTTTCACTTATCACAACTTAACAGAAATTCCCAGTTACCAAGGGGAAAAAAAAAAAAAAAAAAAGAGAGTAGAAGATAATCAACATAGTACTGCAATAGCTGAAGAAAGCCACAGGGTTTCATTATGTTTTGGTAAAATGGCTGCTTTTCTACAGAGTTTGAAGGCATGGTCCAGAATAGATGTGGCTGTCACTGCTGACCAGGTTTGTTATTTATCAGCTGGGAGCACTGCAGTTTCAATCCAGTGAGGCTGCCCGAACTGGACTTTGCCATGTAGGAGCCATTTGCTTGAAATGCTACAGTTGCTTGACAGCGTACTTGATAAAACACAGAAGTTATTTCAAAACAAAGCCACCTGGCTTTTCATTCTTCTTTTAAAACTCACTGTTTCAAGACCAAAGAATAGTTCAAATGTGACTGTGTTAACACTGAAATAACAAACGTGGCACACAGAAGCAACAGGCTTACAAAATGAGATTCTCAACTTACACTTCAGGTGTTCTCCTGCTCCAGCTAGTAGTTGATAGAAGATATGAAATGTCCGTTCATCTTTAGCCTGACGAACAGCCCGAGACTTTTCCAACAAGTCTGATTATAACTAGTCAAGGATCTTCTACAATTTTTGGTTAAAAATGTCCAACGCAAACAAAACTTTCAAAGCAGGCTATATAATTACCTTAAGACCAAATAGAACTTCAATAGTAATGACAGGACTATGTCCAATATGAACTTTCAGTAACATTAAATAAGAGATTTCAAATTCAGACTGGTAGAAGCCCACATTTAATTTCAGCAAAGTCATTTCTTGGATGTTGACTGCATTGCCCTGCTACATGCAGCTGACAATTGTCTGTAACGGAGCTGAAGCCTAAGTGAGAGGGGGAGCTGGCCATTCTTTCTCAGTCAATTCTTCTATTAAGGTCATAGCCTAACTCTTAATACCAAAACCCCAGCAGCTGCTGAACTCAAAAGTACTTTATCTGAAGTGCATTTGTCATTTCTTTCAAGCATTGGATTTTTACATACAACCTGCACTGCCTTTAAACAGCTCCCAAATTCAATTTGTGCAGCAGATAGTGTCCAATAAGCTGCCATAAGTTGTAATGTAAGTTCTTATTTCTTGTTATTCCATATCATAAAACAAATGTGGGACAGGTATTTGAAATGACACAGGTTACGAGCAAGGATGAGTTCTTGTGATAAAGAAAAAATTCCCGAAGAGTTAAGTCCTCCTGTTTTCACAAAGCTCTAGGTGAAACAATTCATCTGAACTTTCATAAAAGTAGAAACTGCCTTCATTCCTGTGCTGTACTGAATGAAAAAAATCATTTATCATTAAAGCGTATTTTAAATAACTATAGATCTTTCCCAGCCTTATTGGGAAATTATATTTTGTGACAGTTCCAAACATTCAATGCACTTAAAATTAAGCAGTTTAACTCATAGCAACAGAACAAAAGCTTAGCTGCAACATTGTTTATGATTAATACTCACATGATATTGTTTACTAAGACTTCCGATTTCATAATTTTATGACGACCCTATTGCTATTCCCCCAGAAAACAGGCTAAAAAAAATTACACACACACTATTTTTAGTATATGAAGAAAATAACCTCAGAGAAGGGCTTTCAGTGCAAGTATTTTTACTTGTTCTTATGCAATCATAAATAAAAATTAATCTTAAAGCTAAAACTGAATAGGGCTTCAGTATTAATTGCTAGTAAGTCTCATGCTATTGAACCTATGCTGGTATCTAGAAGACCCCAGAAAACAGAATGTGTCCGAGCACTTCCAGCTGTATCACTTTATAATGAGCATCACCTTCTTCCACACGGAGAGCTGCTTCTGCAGTGCTGACGAGAGCAAAACCAAGCTTTTCGCACAATACAGTAGCTCAGCTTCTGATTAGGTAGGCGTTTTTTTTCTAGAAACATTCATAAAGCAAGCACACTTTAAATGGTTTCACCCTGTTTTTAAGGCTAGTCTGAAAATCCAGCAGATTTCAGAGTGCTAAATTTTGGAGTATCCAATTTCTAAGCATGAGTAAGCATACTGACTTTGTGATATTTGATCAGCTATTTTGAAACAAAGGAAGAGATGGATGTTGTCAAAGGAATGTAGAAATGTTGTAACCTTTCACTGCATTCCAATGAATTCTAGGGTTAAAAGCAAAACAATCCGGAAACTTGCATTTTACAATGATGTAGCATGAAATAGGATACATGTCTCAATGTTGGCCCCAACAATATAACCAGTAACATCAAAGTTAATCCTAATGAACTTGCCCTGCAAAGAAAAGAGATTTTTTTTTTTGTAATTACTGATCTTTTTTTTTATTACGACAACAATGCTGTCTATATACATATGTCTACATAATCCTACTTGCATTCATATAAAAAGCATTTCACACAAGTTCAAATGAAAGCTTTTCCCTTCAATATGCTCAGCCATCATTTCAATGGAATATGTTATGCTGCACACAAACACTTTCTAAAGATTAAAGAACTAGTATTCTAGATATGTTTGTAACCCAGACTTATGAAAAACTTTTCTGAAAGTGAAGCTCAATTTCTCGCATTGACAAAACATGCTAAGGTTGAAAGCAACGCTGAGATTTTAAGTGCACATACATCTATAGCAAACTTATTGGTGCCTAAAGGTGCTTTATCTGCAGCAATCCTGAATCTCAGTGTGCTGCCCAGCCCAGCTCATCACACTTCTACTTCCATTTCCAAAACCAGGATGGGTGCTATCTGCATGGCCTCTCTTTTCTAGCAGTTAGTAAAGAAAGGACTAAGAGGGAGACAATATACCCATTTCTTCCACATATATCTCCTTTTCTCCACAAAGGACCAAATAAAGAGCACAATTCCCACATGTAGAGCAGCTTTTGGAAAGAAAGTAGTTGCAAGTGGATATATTATACCAGTGTTAAGCCACATCAGTTCCCCAATCTGATTTGTCACTTGGCTATGAACGTTCCCAACAGGACAACAGGCTGCGGCTTGGAGTTGAACCACTTAACAGCACCATTACTGTATTTCAAGTTTGTGCTCATGAAACTGTTAGGTATTCCCCTGGTTGCAAACGTGAAGAAACCAGTGGGAATACCCAGTGACTACACTAGGCTTTCCATTTTCATTGCATCCAATTTCTACAGTCCTCTATCCATATACGAACAGGTTTTGGAGATCAGGGAACATCACAGCAGTTTGCTAACAACTGTCTAAATGCTTCTTTTGATGGTATCTGCACAAAGCCACCTATCCTTTGCAGAGGCCTTCTGAAAGCAGTCTTACAATCAGTATCCAAATCCTCACTTATCTCAAGTCTGACTGATTAGTCCTATCAGTATGTTAAAGTGAATTCCTGTTTGGCAGATCCATTCAGCTCAGGGACGTACCATTGATTTTCATAGTAAATATTCTACCCTACAAGCTTGTAGAATGTATGTATTCTAGCAATGGCCAGACACAGTAAGTGTATATTGGGGGGTATATTGCCACGCTGCAGACCTACGCCTGAACAAGTTGCTGCAATCATGTGAGCTATTGCAACTTTTTACCAGAACATCCTACCCTTGTCAACTTCCCTGATAAAGCCCATTCATGTCAAAAAGATTTGTGTGCTCAGGAGTGACCAAGTTTCTCCCCCAAACCACACCAGTGAATCCAGAGAAAGGTACAACCTACCTACCAGCCTTATCTTGACTTAGTCTCAGAGCAAAGCAACTGCTCCATGACTGCAGTTGTACATCTTCAAAGTGATTTCTCCAAGTTTCAAGAAAACTGCTGGAATACTTTAAATTAACTTCAATGGTTACTCCCTACTGCTCAATCTGCAGTTTGGTTGAAAAGCCAGTGGCTAAAATGACCGTGCCAAGGAACAAGGCTTGTTTTCAAGCATGCCCTGTCAGGGATCAGCACTTGAACTCAGATTTCCAAGTATGAAGAAACAGAACACTCTAAGCTGAGCTTGTAACTGAAGCATTTATACTTTTTGCTCAGTAACAATTCCAGAAAGCTATATTTGTAACTGTCACAAAGAATGAACTGACATTTTACTGAAATTCAGCCAATAGACTAGATATAACGCATGTGTCAGCACTAGCACGTCAAGAATGGCAGCTGACAACTTTCTACCCAGAACAGGTACCACAGAGACTTCTTAGAATGACATGGCTTGAATTTGCCATGTTACATGTGAAAACAAAAGTTATCTAATTTCTGCTGTCAAGTTACCAGTTCCATGAACAAAAATAATTGAGAGGAAATGCAGTCATTAAACGAGCTGACACATCAGAAGAAGGGACCCACACGCTCCCCACTTCAAAGTTCAGCCATCACTGAAGTCTATAAAGGAGGTCACTTATCTAGTTCATCTTCTTAAAAGCAAAATATTAATACATCCTTTTAGCTAGCACTGGCAAATCTTGCTATGAAATCTTTAATTTATCAATTAGAGACTGTAGTGGTGGTCATCTTACAACTGGATTCTGTTTACACTATCATTATACACTAAGTACATGGCTTTGTAAAAAAACACATCAGAAGGAAGCATTTAGTACTGCAATATGAACCCGGCAAGCCCACTCTCCTATCCACTGCAAACTACAGACTTTATTTCCTGAAACACAAGAGAACACTGCCTTTGGTAGAAGAAAAAAAGAAGAAAAAAAAACATTTGACACTAGCCTTATTTCAGTCCTATCTGGTATTATCAGCAAGTAGGGAACAGGCTGGCATCCTCATGCTATAGGGTGAAGACTGTCAAGTCTGCATGGGCTGAACAACAGCACTTCTTACTTTGTGGGAGGATATATTTTTTTAAGTCAGGTTTTAAAATGGTTGTTACTAAAGATTATTTTTTCTGCATGAGATGACACCATCTGGAGTGCATTATACTTGCTCCTTTATAAAAATAGAGCTGGAGCCATCTGAGTGATTATGTTCATGATGGCAATACAGACTTCAATAAAATACAAACCAGATGCTAACATCTTTTAGGAAAATGTATCCTCATTAAATTAGTCCAATCTTTGATGAATTCAAGACGTGTAACAAAGTAGAATTATTGCACAGTGAAACCTGTTGATATTATAAATCCTATACCCAACATACATAAGCATCAAGCAATATTGTAAATAATGTGGCTATAAAATTATCAAAGTTGAATTTCTACAGTACTCTGCTCTCCCTTCTTGATTGAAAAGGCTATCTAATGGATTTAGTCATACAGTTTTCCAGAGTCCTTATCACTGGAGCCGAGTTCATATATTATAAATCCAAGCAACTGTTGAAATGTCAAGGCAGCCAAGAAATCTTTCGTTTGTTCTGTAAATTTTAGTTTTGTTTTGCAAGAAAAAAGATTTAATACCTCCTATACAGTTTTAAAGTTGTACTAAAAACATCTCTCCCCTGAAATAGGAGATAGCTTTTTTTTCCCCTTCAAAGGAAAGGAAGTTTTAAGAAATGGTTCCCCGAGTTCACCCTGAGTTTCACCACTATTTTTAAAACAATGGAATACATCAAAAGTGGTTATCTGCTACCAAAACAGTATGTGAACAGAAGGCACTGACCCAACAAAAACATCAACCAGCTACAAGAGTGCCCAATACCTCGAATACGTCATACGGTCTTTTTGACTTTCCTTCAGTAAATCAGTCAGACGGAAGGGCATGGAAATTTAGAGAGGTTTTATATGCAAGTTTTGTGCTTTTTTAAAAATTGAGGATGTTCTCTCTAAACCAATCAAGTGATAAAGTCATAGCTATTGACAAGGCGGCTATATATTTAGCCAAATTCCATGTTGATACCATACTCCTTCATACTTTATAGTACCGAATCATAGAATAATTCAGGTTGGAAAAG